CAGGGGCACGCCCTGCCACGGCTCCTCCCTCACCCATATGGCCGCCTCGCCCCGCTCGCCGCCGTGCGAGCACTCGAACCGCTGCGACGCCTGCCGGTAGAAGGTGCTGCAGCCGGAGCCCATGCGGGAGCGGAGGATGCGCAGGGCGATGCGTTGGTGTCGCGCCGCCTTGAACGTGTACACGCACTGCAGGCGCCGCGTGCCGCCGCGGCCGAACAGGAAGACGTCCCGCGGCGACGCGAAGAGCCGGTCGGGGCGCAGCGTGAAGGTGCGGTCGCAGGGGCCGCCGCCGGGGGTCGGGTCGCCCCACTGCCGCTTGTCCACGAACTCGTAGCGCGCCAGGAACTCCACGTGGGCCGGGGCGGTGCCGGCGGCGTAGCGCAGCGTCAGCGTCAGCGCCGGCGAGCGGGACACGTAGCTCTCGGCGGGCGAGCAGGGCGCCGAGTGCTGCCCCGGGGCGTGCACGCCGCTGCACACGCGCGGCAGCTTCTCGGGGCGACAGAACCTGCCGAGGATGGATGGCGCGGAGGTGGTGTTGTCCACGTCGCCCCCGGGCTTCTCCAGCGAGATGGCCTCGGGTTCCTCGCCGGCGGCGTCGCCGTCGTAGATAGTGAGCGTGTTGGAGCACTTGGCGGGCGGCGGCATCTCGGCGTGGATGGCATGGCGGTAGTGCACGAAGTAGAGCCACACGACCTCGGTGGTGGCCGCCAGCAGCCGCCAGGAGCAGGTGGTGTTGGGCAGCAGCGAGTGCGCCGGCGCCTGCAGGTAGCCGCTCCTCTGGCCGCGGCTGCTCACCATGTAGTGGCATCCGGCGCCGCGCCGCACGTACGCCGTCGACTCGCGGTCGACGAACTCGACCTCGACGTCGAGCTCGAAGCCGAAGATGCGGCGGCGCGGGGAGTCCTGGAACGGGAAGTCGAAGGGCGACGCCTGGAACACCAGCAGCATGTCGGGGCCGCTGGAGGTGATGCCGGAGAGCGGGGCGCCGCCCTTGCAGATGGTCGCCAGCACGGGCGTGCGGGTCGTGCTGCCGTCGAAGGCGATGAGGTAGTCGTGCAGCACGTGGCACGCCGATCCCACGCGCATGCGCCGCTCGCGGGAGAGGTGCGGCGCGTTGCGGTCCTTGATGTAGATGAGGTGCGGGTTGCGCTGGAACACGCGGATGAGCGCCAGCTTGCCGTCGGGGACGCGCGTCTGCCGGATGTGGAAGTAGCAGGTGAGGTTCCGCGGGTACAGGCCGGGGTAGTTGGGGCTCTGCACTTTGCAGTTCTTCTTGTCGCAGTTCTCGAAGTACTTGTCGCAGAAGGAGTTGGTGACGTCCTCGCCGCGGTAGCTCGGGTTGTAGGGCACGCCGTAGCGCAGCACGGCCTTCTCCTTCTTGAAGAAGCGGTACGTGACCTTCAGCAGGACCGTATCCTGCGGCGAGAAGGAGCCGGGGTTGGCGGGACCGCTCTCCTCGATGCGGTTGAACACCCGCAGCATGAGCGTCACGGCCGACGTTTCTGAGTAGTACACGTTGTGGCCCCAGGCGGCGCCGCACCAGTAGCCGGCGTTGAGCGGCCGACTCAGCTCCTCGATCTGCATGTAGCCGTCGGGGCAGCCGGCCGTGGTGTGCGACACGAACCTGGAAACACCCAAAATATCCATCAGTGTCCACCAATAAATCACCAGTAACCATCAACCTCCACTGAGAGCAGCAGATGCGATTGAAACGCTAAACACCTAAAAGTTAGATCATTTAACGCACTACACACTCAAACACACACACACGAACAATACCACCCACAGCACCACCACCAACGCCCAGCAAAAACAAACAAAAATAAGAAACCAGCATAAACCACCCCACCAACACACACACACACACAAACGTCGCCAGAGGAGATAAATCTTAATAAACACACGCAACAAAATTGTCCTCGGGGTAAAAGCGCGCACTTCCGGAGGCCCATAAAAGATCGGGCTTCTAGCATTACATCATATAACTTAATATGCACAACTCTTCATAAAACCTCTTTGAGCGTTAACAAAGAGGACATGATGCTGGAAATGCTTACGCCGGGGAGATGGAAGGTGCGGCGAATGAGGGAAAGGGAGGGGGGGGAAGAGGGGCAGTAGAGGGGACAGAGAGAGGGAGATTTGGAGCGGAGAAGGGCAGAGAAACGGCAAGACAGGAGAAAGGGAACGAGAGAGAGAGAGTGAGGAAGAGAGGAGGGGGGGAGAAAGAGAAAGAAAAAAGAGATAAAGAAAAATCGAGTGAGAGAAAGAAAGAGACAGACAAAAAGTGAGAGAGAGAGATAGAGAAAGAGATTGAGAAAAAAAAGGTGTGAGAGAGAAAGAGATTGAGAAAAAAGGTGTGAGAGAGAGAGAGTGAGAGAGAGAGAGAGAGAGAGAGAGAGAGAGAGAGAGAGATGGCCCTTAAGACACATCCACACCCTCTGCCTCACATACGCCTTTTTTGTGCCTGAGTGTGTGAGAAAATATCCAGATTTTTACTTTT